ACTTGTAATATCCATATGTTTTAATTTAAAAAAAGAGGTTTTTAATAATCAAAGAGCAATTTAAAAAAACCTATGGTTTTATTCCAGCTAGAGCTTGTAATATATGGAGTTAATTTTGCTGCTTCACTGCATTGTATGTATAAAATTGTTTGGGTGGGGGGTTTAGGAAGAAGAGTTTACATTTGTATTTATACTTAAGAATGCAGCCTGCTAGCATATACACAGGTATATGGGAATTATGGGAACTTCATTGCAGCTTCTTCCTTGGGAAAGAAAAATTCCTGTAAGGAATTACATTGAGTTGGCTTACAAATATAATGCAGCTTAATGCAGCTGCAAGTTAGCAAATACTAACCAGTCTTAACTGTGTTGCAGAAAATGAGGAGTGAGATGTTACCAGTTAGATTGTAAAGCATGGATGTAATGGTTATGTTCTGTTACCTGTGTGTATCTGCTTCTTCCTCCTTTGTTCATTACCAAGTGTTGTCCATCTTTAATTTGTTACCAAGTGTTCAGCTGGTATCAATCAATGCTACTGTGTTCTAGTTCTCCTCTCAATGCTACTGCATCTGTTTTTTGGGGAAATAAAAGTTTGTGATACAAGGGAAGGAAGGAGAAAAGTCTGGACAGAATTAGGTGAAGGTAGAGCTATGGAAGCTTTTGCCAAAACTGTGAAAATGCACCTGCCGAATGCAGTTTGATGAACAGGTGATTTGAGCTCAGCTCACAGCTCACTGCTGCCCAAAAGGGTAGCCTTGCTCTTCCTGTCCTCTCCCTTTCATCAGCAGTGAGGCCTGTCACAACCTTTGCTGATCTTGCTCAACAAACCTACCAGACAGATAACTATCTGCTCTTCCTCCGGTGGTCTGGTTTTCTGCCAGATTGGTGAGTCAAACCAATTCACAGAAGGGTCCAACGAGCCGGAGCTGCAAGCTCATGTGGAGGGCGACTTACATGAGAGAGCCTCTCTTCCTCAGGCAGTGGCTGTGAGCTGTAGGTTTCCTCACCATGTTCTCAGAGCTGATGCAAGAAGACTAATCTTCTCCTGCAGAAGTCAGGAAGAGTTGGTTTTGCCCTACTGATTTCAGTGAGAGTTGTACCTCTCCTAAGGTAAAACTCAAGCCCTGAATTTTTCTATTTACTGTTACTGGTTTTGTATCTCTCTTGTAGTTTCTTATTACTACAGGGGAAAACCTGGATTACCTTGATGGTGTGCATACAGTATTCGGAGAAGTGACAGAAGGCATGGATGTATTGAAGACAATTAACGAAACCTTTGTAGATAAGGATTTTATCCCGTATCAAGATATCAGGTGCAACTGCTTTTAACTTCCCTTTTTGAGGAATACATTATAATTAAACAAATTAATCTTTTTTGGAAGCTAGATTAATATAGTGATGTCAGGTGACCTGTACATGATATCTTAAATACTTTTATTCCAGTATTATTGGTAAAATAAGCAGGTACTAAAATGAACAACTGTGTAAGAAAGTGTGCAACTATGTTGCCTTTACAAAAGCATCAGTACTACTGGTATTTACAAACATACAGTATGTTTGGCTGTTTGGGATAAACAGAATCAGCGGGGCTGGTTTCCTGTTACTTGGGTAAAGAGAGTTTTATTTGCATGTGACTGATGCTGGTCTTGGTTTTGTTTTCTGTAAGGATAAATCATACAGTAATTTTAGATGATCCATTTGAAGATCCACCTGGCTTGTCTATTCCTGATCGCTCACCAGAACCTACTAAGGAACAGCTAGATGTGAGTGTTCATGATAGCTTCTTGGGGAAAAGTTGGAAGAAATAATGAAATTTATCCCTATTAGTGGCCAGCAGAGACTTGGTCAAAATAAGAATTCTGTCTTAAGACTTTGTCTGTCAAATCTATATCCTAAAAGAACTATACGTTTTTAGCATAGGAGGATAAGAGATGCTCTTCTACTACACTAGCTTGAGTTCCGATATGTCAAATGCTTGTCTGTTATTTGGGGCCGTTGCTGTGTTTAATCAAATATGGCTGCGTAATCTTTCAAGAAAAAGATAAAAGGGTGACATGGGTGCTCTCCCCTTTGACTGTAGTGGAGTTAGGTTGGAAAGCGGTATTTTAGTTTTCTAATTACAGTGTAGATAAGCAGAACACTCAGAATTTTCACCTTTGGCATTACTTGTTTTCTGTATACTGTGGTAGAAGACAAAATATAACTAACATTTATTAACTTAACTGGTGTTTTCCTTTTAAATGTGAAATAGTTAGTGTTTCAGTGGAAGTAATCTTGCTCATTCTTTGAGTTATATCTGCAAGCATAGATACTGTTGTGGTGTATTTGTTCAAACAGAAGGAACTTGCTAAAAACACAATTGTAATAATTCATAATTTACTGATAGCATACAGTTATGGAAGTTGCTATGTGAGATTATCTCCTTGTGTGGAAACAGTTGTTTCAAGCAATGAATAAATTGACTAGACAGAATATTGTTTATTTTTAACCTTAATAGATATAATTACAAGATTGGAATAAGGCTTTCATAGTACATCTGCACTGTGGTTAATCTCTGATGTACCTTCAGATAAGTTAAACGGTATAAGGAATTTAATAGCTCACTGCCAACTGCATAGAGATTTGAAAACTTTTACTTGGTTTTCTTCCGCCATAGCCTGTCTGAAGATACACCTTTCAGTGTAGAAATGTCTGTAAGAAGGGCAGCGTTCTAGAGATGCTGATGAGGAGACAAAATTACTCCTCAAATCCTGCCTAGATGTAGATGTGTGAAAATAAAATTCTTGTTGTGATTTTTAACGTTTGAGTCTTATTAGACACCCCAGATATTTGCAGTGTTCATTATCGTCATTTCTGGTAGGAGCTATCTAGATTAGAAATGAGTTGACACTTGTGGTGAGATGTTGAGTATGAGATGGGAGTATAAAAGAATTTATCTAACTGAATATGGTTCAAATTGGGCCTGAAAGTTCATATGTAGTTCATAGTGCCTGAAACATGAGGATAACATCTTTTCCCTCTCTTTTAAATCTAAGTGGGAAGAACAGAATGAAAGCCCAGTTCTGCAGAGATGCAGTGCTTAAGCATTTTTCATGTCTTGGGGGCTGAGGGGTGAGGTCATCCAAGTAATATTTGCAAAGTGAGAAAGAATTTTTGGCCGTGGCTTGGTAATAAATAGCTTTTTCCTTCGTTTTTCAGAGTGGCAGAATAGGAGCAGATGAAGAAATTGATGACTTGAAAGGACGGTCTGCAGATGAAATAGAAGAAGTTCAGGCAGAAAAAGAAGCAAAAACTCGTGCCATTCTTCTGGAAATGGTGAACATATTTCTGTATTTGCCTTTTAGATGTTATTCCTGTGTGTGTGCATGTTATATTAAGTCTAGGAGAATGTGTACTATTTATCTTGAAATTGCTTATCTGATGATGATGTCATGGCTCAGAATCTGTGCTATTGAATGTCTGTGGTATATTGAAAAGGATTGAGCATGAGCACTGGAGGTGGTTTTCTGATAAAACAGGTGATATTTAATTTTTAAAGCCAGGATTAAGAGTGGACCAGTGGAGGCTTTATAAAAACTTGCTAGAAATGCATGCAGTTAAAAAACATAATATACGTAATATGCTGCTGTGTATATATAATCCTGGAAAAGGTTTAGCATGCGTGGGAGAGAGCTGAGCTAATTTGTGATAATCTCTTCCCAGTACATATAGTGGCATTGAGGTTGCATTATTCATGTATGTAATGGCAGTCTTCCTTCTGTGGGATTAGGTTGCATTTAACATTGGTTAACTTTATGTTCTTCCTTCTTAAATATAATGTTTGGTAACTGCTGGCAGTTGTAAACTCCATATAGCAACAAAAATTGTGAATAGGCTTTGAAGTCTTTTTTAAAAAAAAAAAAAAGAAAAAAGCGCACACACACTGTTGAACGATGGGTGATTCCATCACATTTCTTTACAACTACCAAATTCAAATTTGTGGTGAATAGTTTGCAGCAGAGGCTAATACCAAGCTCAGTCCAGATGTGGCCACAGTGTTGCAGAAGATCTGCTGGTGTGGGCTCTTGTTTTGCTGCAGCAGCAGTGGGGCTGATGACGTGTTTTCCAGATAAGGTTAGCTAAAAAAGGCAAGTGGGGTATGTGAGCCAATAAAGTAATTTTCAGTGACTATTGCTGCGTAGCATGCAATAGGGAGCTATGCTCTATAAGCTGAAGAGATGAAAAACTTAAGTGTGCTGCTAGTTTCACTGATTTGAAAAACCCCAACTATTAGTTCCACTATTCTTTTGTTGAAACAGTAAACTTCTCTGAGAGTCACGTGCTCAAACTCCTTTTGTGTTCTTTTTTGTGGAATCTGCTTCTTGTGTTATTTTGCTTCTTTATGCTATCAAACTAATGTGCATTACCTTTTTATTAGCATATTAAGTAAAAGATGGAGATAAATAATTTAAATATCACTAGTCTTTTGTTCAGGTTTTAAAAAGAAGTGCTACAGTTCAACAGGAGGTAGTATGTGTATTTGCATTTTCCCGTGTAACTGAATTTGCTATCAAGCTATCTTAAATTTAAGCTTATCCTAGCTGTTGCGAGATTTCAAGGAAAGGCGAGTTGATCTTGGGGGCAGAGGTGAAGGAATGGATCCAGTCCATTTTTATTTTTGTAACAGAGTGGCTCTAAATGTACACTTCGACCTTTTAGAACTGTGTATTTGTTATAACAGGGAAAGTGAGGTAGAAAGTATTTGTGACTTTCATGAATTCCTAGTGGTGGAACTGCAAATAGATAATCATTTTTAGGTACTATGGAAAACACTTTTTTGTGACATTAAATAGGAAAAATATTTTATTAATTTTTTGATTTTGTGATAGGAATGTGTCCGAGATCATCCGAGAGATGTGTTGCCAGTGTGCTTGTGGCAATAAAATGTAGAGAGCTTTAGGCAGAAGTGACAAAGGTCTCTTTCTGTTTGCTGTAGGTGGGAGACTTACCCGATGCAGAGGTCAAGCCACCAGAAAATGTGCTGTTTGTTTGTAAACTGAATCCTGTGACCACAGATGAAGACCTAGAGATAATATTTTCACGATTTGGTCCCATTAAAAGGTAATTATTGTAAAATAATAAAGAAAACCTTCTTTGTTGAAACTGAACTTGATTCCCACCAGTCTATTTAGGTTTGGCTGTTGGGTAGTATTCCAGTATCTCTGGAGGTTTATGCTGTGGCTGCATGTATTTGGATAGAGACTACAACAATGGTGATAGGAAGTCAGATCTAGCTAGATGATTATCCTGTCCCAGCAGTGGTTTTAACTGAAAGCCTGGGGAAGTATAGGAACAAGGAAAGCATATGATACTCTCCCCAGCCCCCCGTCCTCTCCCTCCTTTCAGCAGTTTTTGTCTCAGATGCTACATGAGCAAGATACATACAGTCTCTGGGTTTTCGTTTTGCATGGGAGTATGTATGTTTTGGGATAAAATGACAAACATTTCTGGCATCCAGTATACTCCTTGTTAAGGTGTTTCTCATGCCTGCTGCCTTTTTCAGTTTTGAACTTCCTAGCAGTTTTCGTTGATTCCGCCTGGTACTGGTATCAAAAGACATGACGGGCAGTGAAACCTACTTTCTTACACCTCCCTATCCTATACTCCAAAGTCATCTTTTTTTCTTGCAAAGAGTACTATCCTACATACTCATGCTTTGTAGAGGAATTTTCCTTACCTTGTTTCCCGTTTCTCAAACTTTTTCTCTTCTTTTGTTTCATCTCAAGATGAGAGGACCAGAATTGCACACTGTATTAAAGAAATTACAGATTTACAGTGGCACAGTGGTATTCTCTGCTTTGTTCTCAACTGCTTTTCTAGTCAATGCTAAAGCTATTTTTTTTTCCCAATGCACAATTAGGTTTCCTCCCCCCATGCTCATCTTGTTGCATTTCTCTACATTGAACGTCATTTGCTATTTTGCTGTTCAGTTGGTCTCCCAAGAACTTTCTGCAGTTTTTTCAGTCTTTATTTTTGCCACCTTTAACGATTTAGTATCATCAGCAAACTGCTGCTGACCTATCTACTTTCTCAGTGAGAAATGACTATTTACTCTTGCCTGGTCTTTTGCATGTTTATCAATGCAAAGATGTTTCTTATGCTATTGCTGCTTAGTTTTCCCAAAAGCCTTTGGTGCAGGAGTTTATTAGAATTTTGGGAGGGATTTGAAAAGACTGCATCAGAAATCATCATTGTGCATAAGCATATTGACTTTTTCAGAGAACTTCACTTAGGTTTACTCAGATGGTCCTGAGTAGGTCCTATTTATTCAGATGGAGACTAACTCTATTCTGCATTGAGTTTCTATAAATTTGTGCAGTACTGGCATACAGGCCTGCAGAGTCCCAGATCCTTCACTAGACTGTCTCTGTGTCTCTCTGCGTGTGAGTGAAATTGGCATTGTTTGCCACTTTTACAAGTCCAGCATGATTTGTGGATGTCCTAGGGATTTCTTACTTTTTTTTTTCTTTATCTCTTTGTTCAGTACCTCTTCTGCATTCTTGCTTTCAGACAGATTCTCTGAATAATCCACAAAGGAGGGTTCTGGCACAAAACTGTCCTACCTTCTTCCTTGCTGATGGCTGCTACAGAGAATTCCCATAGCTTGTCTGAATAGCCTTGTCTTCTATTCCCCCCCCT